CTTTGTAATTTCATCTCTGGGAGTAACTGAGACATGAGCAGATAACAGCCCATGCAGCAGATCATTTGACCAGACCCTGTATTGGCTCCTTCTGCAATGACTCAGGAGTTGCTGGTGAGGACTTGTTTGGAGAGGGGAGTAATATTGCAAAAAGCATTCAAGGGAACCTGTGCTTCATCAGGAGTATCCACCCCATGGGCAGGGAAAGAATAAAAGTAGGAATCTTGTGCTGAATTAATCAGAGGAAATAGAACCATAATTCAGTCAGTAATCAGCTTGACAGATGTAAATTAATGCATCAGTCATTGTTCATTCCTTTTTTTTCTCAGTCACAGAGATTTTCTTGGCATGATGTGCATGGTTCTCTTTGCAAAGCTTTTGGGTAATCAAACACTGCTGAAGGGCAACATGTTGGGCTATCTCCATCCTCTCTGCACGCAGGGTTTATCTCCAGGGGACATAGGAGGGGAGCAGGAGCAGTGAGTTTCCTTTCTGAACCACAGGGCTCACTGAACACCCTCAGCACTCCCTGAATCCCCGAGGCTGCCCACACCTTCTCAGGGCTGCAGGCTCAGGTATTGTTAGCTCATATTGTTGAAACCAGGCACTTGTTTGTATCCTCAGCCCTGCCTGCCTTGGCTCAGCCTGAAAATCTGGGGTTTCAGGAAACTCTGCAGCAACTGCTACTTAGAAAAATCTGTGATCTCATTCCCAGAAGTATTTAACAGGATAGCATTAACAAATGGCACAGTATGCATGAATCCACCCATTATTGTAACAATCCAAACAGCAGGGTATTTCTTGTCTCTTGTGCTGTCAGCACAAGGGACATCACCATGGAAGTCCCTGCTCCAGGTTTTGTACAGAACAAATTGCAGCAGGTCAGCATCCACTGGCTGAACATTCTAAAGATGTGGATGTAGCCCCATAAAACACAGTCATCAGCCTTGTTAACATTTCTGGCACATTTCTCCAGTTAATACCAATGCAAGAGCCATCCAGAAGGCAGATGGAGTTCAAACAGGATTTTGTTGTTGCAGAGGTCATACCTTCCTTGGCCAAGCATTGCAGTCTGTTCTTCATTTTCAGCAGCTGAAAGAGGCTTAAAACACACCAACCCCAACAAACAGAAACCAAAACCATACACAAATAACCAAAAACTGACCCAGAGAAGCTATGGAACCATAAACACCAGACTCCCCATCATGTTCCCTTTCCAGCTTGCAGTGGAAGGCAGGACCCTCCCTTCCCCAGGCCAGGAACCCACATCTCTGTAGCACAGTTTAGAGACACCACCACCACCCTCACTGGGACCCCTCAAAAGAACCTTGTGATGCAGAAGTCAATAATGAGGAGCTGAAGGAACTGTTTGATACATACAGATTTTTGAAGCCTTTCCCATTCCCACGGTTTTCCTCAAGTTTCAGGATAGTGGGCACTTTGGATTTTTAAAAAAGTATAAATAACTAAAACAATCAAAAAAGTATCCACTTCCCACTGCCATTCTAACAGCGCATTTTGCCAGTACAATTATATTTAGGATATACTGTGAAGTTTATGGGTTTATAACCTTGAAGGAGCAGGTAAAGAGCTGCTTCTCAGAGGTAACACAGGTTTAAACATTGCTTTGAGGCAACAGGTCATCCTAAATTCACACCTCCACAGCAGATCCACACTGACTGTCAACTTTTTAATAATTAATGACGCTCATCTCAGCTGCTTTACTATTTCACTTCCCAGTTACAATACCCACAAAGAGTCCCTGCTGACATTAAAGCACAAGAGCTCTGAAGAGAAAGCAGCCACCTCTTCTAGACTGATGTTTGCTGCAGTCTCAGCAAGCTGTCATGGCACTGCTCATGCTTTAGGCACTGAGGCTCAAGGCTCCCACAATGTCTCAGCATCCCTTGGCTCACCCTTCCCTCGCTGGTCACTGCTGGAGGCCTGGGGTTTCAGCCATTCCCACCAGCCTCTGCTGGGGGAGCTCTGAGATGGATGGGCTGGAGTGAATTCCTGCTTGGGGCCCTGCTCTTGGTCCCCTCCAGGAGCCACAGCAGCTTTGCACAGGCCAGGTCCTGCTGCTGCTCAGAGCCTGGGGCTCCCTGCTGGACAGGCTTTTCTTGGGGCTCCCCTCCTGGACAGGCTTTTCCTGGGGCTCCCTCCTGGACAGGCTTCTCCTGGGGCTCCCTGATGGAACAGGGGCTCCCCTCCTGGACAGGCTTTTCCTGGGGCTCCCCTCCTGGACAGGCTTTTCCTGGGATTCCCCTCTTGGACAGGCTTTTCCTGGGGCTCCCTCCTGGACAGGCTTTTCCTGGGGCTCCCTGATGGACAGGCTTTTCCTGGGGCTCCCCTGATGGACAGGCTTTTCCTGGGGCTCCCCTGATGGACAGGCTTTTCCCCAAGCCCTTCCCTGGAAGGTCATCCTGCAGTTCACAGCACACATCCCACGTGCTGTGCATGCCTTTGATAGCACTTAGGGACCCTGGAGCACCATTTTCCCCCTTTTATTCCTTTCAGTGCTCCATCACTTCCATGAACAAGTCTTTTTCAGAGCAGCACTCACTTTTCTGCAGTTCACACACCCGCGTTTCTATAGTGTCCTATAAAATAGGAGCTATTTTCATGCTGTTTCTTCACAAAAAACTTTTTAAAAATCCACAAAAACACTGTCTACTAATGCAAAGAATAGAAAATTTCATTTTAAACTGAATGTCTCTGATTGTTCATGCACTGGAAGCTGAAGAGGTTCATCCATTCCCACCAGAACTGAAGAGCAGTGGGTCCAGCACCTCTGAGTGCCCCTAAGAGCTGGAGAATGCAATTTACAAATCTGAGTTTATCAATCTCTTTGAGATGGAGTTTTTAAATCTCCTGATGCAAATTCTTTAGATTGCCCTCACACTGAAGGACATTCTGATTCTCCTGTCATGCAAGATTGCCTTCAGGTAGGGAAGAAGAATGTTTAGGTAATTTGGATAGAACTGCTTAACTGGCCACACCATGTGGGTCCTCTCAGCCTCATTAAGCACCTAACAAGGTCACCCTGATCTGCAGCACGGAGTTAAAATGCATAATTAAGGCAGGTGAGAGGAAACTGAAGAAGGGGTTCCGTTTTTTTCAAATTTGGTAACCCACAATGTAAAAGCCCTTGCTGTTAGGAAGCATGTGGATTAAAATCCCTTTGTGGTCATGTGTGATCAGGACAACAGGGACAGAAATTACTTCCTTTTCTATTACAAAGTTCTTTCTTTCTCCACCTGTCTATCTATGCACTTGAAAGGGGATAGAATATCAGCCTAGATACTAGTTTCTCTACCAAGAATCCCATAACTTTGTTCCAAAATTCTCTATTTTTTTCCAGTGGGTAAATGAGAACAATTTAACAGACACATTTCCACTGGGAATATTAATAGAAAGCAGCAATAGTTAGTGACCTTTAACGCAGACTCAACTTCAGGAAGGTGGGAGCTGGAAGGTATCCCTGGATGCTTCCAGGCACTATCCCTACAAGAGCTTTTATTTAGACAGTTTTATTAGAAACACCCCTGCTGGGCACACTCATTTTCTGCGACTGAACCATTTTCTGGTGCCTTTTGTTCAAAAGGCCACAAAACCCAGCCAGTATTCCAGGTTAAGGCATTGTCCAGGGTGCTCTGAGGACATCACAGGGGTTCTCATCTATGTGCAGCACCATTCATTACAAAGGGATTTATAAATCCTTTGAATTTGAAATTTAATCAACTTTCCCATCATGTATAATTATTTAAATGTAGTATAATCTCCAGAACAGTGTGCTCACAAAAAAAGCCCAAATTCTTGCTCCAGCCTGACTCTGCATCCCTCAATTTTGACTCTCAGTCGGACTGGGTGGCAATGCAGAACAATGCACACTGCAATTCCTGTTCCTTTAGAAATATTCCCTTGTTTAAATAGTCTTTGAGAGCAACAAACTGCTTCCCTTTAAGAACAGTTTGGAATACCTACAGCCTGGACTGTCAGCTGCCTGGAGAGGGAACAGTGCAGCAAGCACAGCTGATTCTCAGGGATCTGTAAATCTCAGTTTTTCTCTGCTTGCCTTCTCTCTGGGGACAGCTCAGAGCCCTCCTGACTGCCAGCACACAGAGCTGCTGGAGCTGGTGCAGATGTTTGTGGTAACTCTGCTGAAACAGGCCTTCAAGTGGGAACTGCGTTTCCTATTTTAAATATTCACATATACACACTGCAGTTTATATTGGAGGTGAATAAACGTCCTTTCCTAAAGGCTACACTTGGCTCAGGAGGAGTTTTTAGTTGGTTTTAAAGTCTTTCCCCTGCCACCTCAAATGAAAAGCACCATCATTACATTATTTAGAGGAAGGGACTGTGTGGGGTCTGTAACAGGAGCTGTGTGTGCAAGGAGCAGAGTGCTCTGCTGCCCCAGGAGACACCCCACAGCCTGTCAGCTCTGCCTGCCAGCTTTGCCACCCCTCGGGGTGAGTGTCCTCTGCCCTGCCAGCCTGGCTCAGCCCTGCTGGACACACTCAGGGCACGGTGCAGAGTGTGCATCAAACACCCCCAGACACTGCAGACATCAGGGAATGGCCCTGGGCCTGTGGCCAGTCCTGCACTCCCAGTGACAATCCTCGCACCAAATGGATGCTCTACAGTAGCAACAGGGATTTCCCCCAGGCTTTGAATGGTAATGTTTGAGTGTTTCATTTCCACAGATCTCTCTGTGCCCTTGTGTTTCAGTGGCTCCTTTAGCAACAAAGAACACAGGTGACTGAAATTGTCTCCAGAATCAATGTCTGATTTGCCACTATTGACACCCCTGCATCTGTCTAAGCAGACATCCTAGTCCTGTTCAGATGAAATCTGAAGGAATTAAATAATTTCTTAATGGTATGAGAAAACCCCTTGATTTATGCAGGCAGATACTGCTGGAGCTTTCACAGATACAAATGATGATGTAAATCACACTAGAGGCTTTATGTACTCTGCAACACCATCACCATAACTCATGTGGGAGTGCAGAACACCACTGCAAACCATTTTAATTATTTTTTTTAATTCATGTCACCTTGAAAGAAAGGCCGGGATAGGTCACATGTGATATCACCTCCTAAAGGAAGATCCTGGGATCCCAGTGTTTGTTAACAAGTTTCTATCTCAGCACCATGTTCCTTACACAACTCCCTGGATCAGTATTTCAGTCATCATTATTTTCTAAGCAATCAGTCATTCCTCTATGTGCTTTTTCAGTAGATTACTCTTACTGAAGACTGGCAAGGAAGCTGGAAAAAGAAACAGGATTTAATTTTGATAAGAAAAGCCCTAAATAAGAAACAGCACAAGGACACAAGCACTGTGGGAGGAGTGCTGGGGTTGTGTACAGAAGGTGGATCTGGTTCCTGAAGCTCAGTTCAGCCTCAACATTTAGTTGCAGATGAATCTTCATTATAGAGCTTTGAACCCTGTGAGCAGGGTAAGGATTGCTAAAGATGACTAATAGAGCCAGTGGAACAATTCATTGAAACACCAGGAAAATACAAAACTCCATCATTTAAACAGTCATAAATGTGAGCCAGTTTAATAGTGATCAGAAGTGGAGAACTGATTTGGAGATTCATAAATGCATATAGTGCACAAGTCAGGTGCTCGCCAGTTGTGACTGTTTGAGCTGGCAAGAATTTCATCATTCCTTCCCATTTTCTCTGTGGAGGTTGTGAGAAAAGTTTGTAAGGAAAGGAGCTTCTCTGTGGAAGGGTTTGGATTTTTGGTTTAGGGTTGTTTTTTTGTTGCCCCAATATAGATCACATTTCCTACCTGGGTTCTATGTCCCATGAGCTGCCACATGCCCTCTTTAGGTTACATTAAATACATAAAAGCTCAGACAGAGCTCAGCCTCCTAAAGACAAGACATGAGACATCCAGATCACTGTTCAAGCAGACTTATAAGGTAAAATATAAAATAATTTGCCCATTATATTTTTTCAAACCTTAAAAAATATTACTATATTGCAGCATTTTCCGAAGTTTTATATGAGAAAGTTGTGTGCCAATAAACCTGGAGTTTCCCACAATTAAAAAAAAAAAAAAAAAAAAAAAAAAAAAAAAAGGGTTTGCCCTATTCAAGTCACTACCAAGCTAGGTTGGATCTGAACTTATGAAGGTAACCTTATTTTAATGGATAGAAAAGAATTCTCATCATACCTATTTCCAAGCCCCAATACAGAGTTTCTGAGAAAAGTAATAGCTTTGGGTCCTGCTTATAAAACTGTATTAGTTCCAATTGTTTGAATATGAGTAAATGGGGGGAAAATATTCCTTGTCCATCAGAAAGTGGGCTGTTATATTTGCGGAGTGATTTGTTTCCCTGCAGTGGTATTCATCATGTTGATAAAAGAGACCATGGATCTGAAAATGGGAAGATTTTTCCTGTTAATTTGAAACAGCACCTATACAAGCTGCTGTGACATCAACATAATACCCTAAAGCCACAGCAGCTGAAAAGATTTATTTCCTGAGCCCTTCTGCAGCCACATTCTCTTTGCTTCTGACAGTCTCAATTTGCAGGCTGCTGGTGATCCAATCTTCCTCATTCTGGCTCTATAATAAGGATGTCAGTGCAAGAAGAGAGAAAGTCATTATCAGATAGGCATAAGACAGGATGAAAAGCAGAGTTTGCTGTTTCAGGGGAGAGGCCACCCTGTCTGCCTTGGAGGAGCTCCTCAAGGTTATGGGCAGCTTTTGTACCTGGAAGGATGTCCCACATTCAGATAAAACTGAGCCATCCCTAGCACAGTCTCAGGTCTGAATAAGGTTTTCATTTTTTACTATTAATCAGTGAAAAGTTATAATTCTGATTAGAAGGTATGTGTGCAGTAAAAAAGTTCAAAGATTCTTTGAACTGCAGAGAGCAGCAGAGAAACTGAGTGTGAATTCACAGGTGCTGCCTGGTCAATGGCATTTGTGGGGGCTTGGATTATGCTGAGGCATCTCCCACGGCAGCAATGAACAGGCAAGATTAGTCAACCATTTGTATAGAAGATTTACCTCAAATTTAGAAATAATAATGAAGATCATCTGCTTTGGAGATTGTTAAAATGTCATTGGTGCGGCAACTGACAGGAAAAAAATATTTATTCATTGACTTTGTCAAATTGCTAAGTGTCAATTCCGGCAGATAAGAGGATAAGAGGTAAAAGTTTGAAGCACTCCCTATAGAGTTATTATTGAATATCCATTGTAGCTTAAGAGGCAGTTTAATTTTCTGTGTGGAAAGCAGAAAAGCCTGAAGAACAGAACTGTGTTTGAGAGAACCAAACATGCTCCTAGGCCTTCTGAACTGAAAATTCCTTTTCCTATACTATTTCTCTGGCTGGTGTAAAATTGTTTTATAGAGAGGACATTTCCCAGACTGTTCTGGTCATCCACTCATTTCTCGACTTTTCTATAAGAGAAATACAAAAGGACAAATAGCCTGCCCTGTTCTGAGCATCCTCATTGCTTTCTTTTAGTCCCATAAGCAGATGACACCCTGGCATTTATCAAGCCTAAGTGAAGTTTCAGCCTTCCTCAGGATCCAGTGGAATCTGAATCCAATAGAGACATTTCTCTTTAGTTAATTTAAGGTTCAACTCCTGTGGGCCTTGGATTCAATGCATGAGTAACATCTCTCTCCCCCTGTCTGCAGGGATGCTCCTGTCATCCAAACCCTTTCCCAAATTTCTTTGTTGTTCTACACCTCTCTTTCTCCTTTCCTGTGCCACAGAAACAAGCAGTGCAGTTTCTTCTGATTTCCAGAGATTTATTTCTCAGAGTAGCAGCAAGGGCAGAGTCCAGCTGGTCAGTCTTGGCCAGACTAAACCATCTTCAAACAGGAACTGTTCATAAAGGCAGAATCAACAAAATCATGGATCATTGTACTGATTTTGTGTATCTGCTCCTTCCTGACATCTGTCACTCACCTTCTCTGGATAAAGAGACTGCATAATCCAAGGGACTGAGAATGGAAGGATATCAGAAACATGCATTAAGTTGATTTGGTGCTTGAAATGCTTTGCTGCAATCATTTGAAGACCAAAGGATTACAGAGGGTGCTGTGCACAATCCTAAACTGGCCTTACCACTGCTCCTTCCCAGCCCTGTACCCTGTGTCAGTGCAGTGCATTTAAGGGTGCTGGGAGGTGCTGGATCACCATCCCAAACAGTTTAACTGACCAGGGGGTACAAGGAACCCTCCTATTCTGTCCATGTGCTTCAGCTCTAGTTCAGCAGGGCAGCACCAAGCCCCCCCTGCCCTCAGGAGGGAGAATCCCAGGCTGGCAGGGATGAAGAGGTGGATGATTCTAGACACAAAATCTTTCCAGAACAACACACCAGCACTCCTTCAGGAGCTGATCATGCACTTTTCAGCCTGGGAAACAAAACCACTCCATGTCTCATCCTCATCAGTCATAACATGAATTATCATCTTTATTGAGATGATACATTGGAAACCAGGGGAAGAGGTTTGGTTATCTTAGGAGGATCCAGCTCTAAAATCATCTCAAAGCCCATCAGTTCCAGAGGCCATTGCAGCCTCACTAGAGCTGATGTGCCTTCAGGACAAAAGGAAACAGAACACGACCACATCATCACCACCAAACTCAGGTAAGTGTGGAGAGAAGAGACTCATTTGTGTGGAGGTGCTTCCCTTCCCTCTCCTCTGAGGTACAAGCAGGGGAAAGGCACTGAGGAAGGGAGAAGCCACTCCTAATGAAGGGCTGCATGTTGGGTGAGCCAAGCTCCCAGGGCACGTCTGCACATTCCACCCTGCCAAGCTCTGACCCAGCTGAAACCTCCCCATTACTTATGGCCAAGTTAGAGAGGGGTCACTGTCCCTTCAAGACAGGTTAGCAGGGCTGAGAAAGAACAATATGCACCCAAAAAGTCAGGCTGTTCTACACCTCCTTCAGTTACTTTCCAATTGGTTTGGTGAGATGCAGGAGCACTGAGTAAAGTAATAAATTGTGATATTTAAGGGATTTTTCAAAATGCTAATTTATTGTCTGACACCGAATGGACAGTCCAGGAATTCTGTGCTGGTGCTCACTCTAAAGTCAGTGTTTTGCCAGCCCTGTGCCAGTTTTGTACAGTAGCACACAGCTCCTATCATGGATAAAAGCCATGGTGTGTACATCCAACATCATTCATATTTAGAGGATTAGATATAAAATATGCATATTTATGTATATATTGTTTATAATTTGCAGTTTCATGGGAATGGATACGATTTACCTCAAAACAAAAGTGTTAACACTCTGTTAGTGGTGTATTTATGGGTTTCACATATATTTGCAGATACTTCTATTCTGAAGGAAAACCATAGCATTTTTACTTGGAGAAATGCACAGTTTATCAAAAGAAGATGGTTTTGGATAAGAGAAGAAAAATTACAATGTGGTTTTTTGCCAAAAGTAATATAAATATCTCTTTTCACCTCCCCCCAAAAAAAAAAATTCAAACTCTAAGGATTTATATCAATGCAGTATCTCATTCTGCTGTTGTTTGTCACAGTAGTAAGTCAGTAGTAAAGTCTGGAGGATCAGACTTGCAGTATCAAACTGAAAAAGGTGCCAGAGGAGAAGTCAATCAAGTACATTTTGTGTTAGGAGCTGGGCTAAGGGGACTCATTAATTTCTTCAAATAAAAGCACTGTTGCATTATAACTTGTCTGTATGAGGGACTTGGTTCAGTTAGATTAAAAGCATTTAAAAAACCCGAAAGATTCACACTGGTGAGAAACAATAGATAAAACAGACAGGACTTGGGATAGCCAAGGAATCCCTGAGAATGTGTGGATAAATGGGGTGTCTTGAACTCAACCACACCACCTCAATACCAGTGCAGCAGAGTATTGTACCTGTTTGAAGTCATTTGAAGCTGTAAACTTCTATAAAGCACAACAGGTCCAAATATCAGTGCTCACACTGGGTGGCACCACAGGAATCTCCCAAATAGTCAGAGTGTAGATATTCCAGGTGGCTTCCACAACTGGAAAAAATAAAAGATAAATCTCCTAAGCCAGGCCCTTCCTGTTTAGAGGATCATCCCAAATTTGTCCCAAGTTTTTAAAGATCTGAAAGCACTGACTGCAGCCTCCTTCCTCCCCACTTGACAGCAGTTATCACCAATTCCATTTCATTGCTATTTGATATTAAATTTATGACCACAAGCCTGATGGTGTGGGGCAACTTCACACCCCAGCCTCACCTTCTCATCATGCTGACAATGTAGTTGATTATTCTTTTACCTTTAAAGTCAGCCAAAATTACCAATAACTTACCTGCCACTATTTCCAGTTCAGGTGTTAATCCCTGCAGCCAGGATTTCAACTGCCACTGCTGTGATATTTGCATCTCTCAAAGGCAGAATTTGCGAAACTCTGAAAAAACAAGGCCATGGAAAGCCAGTGGGGGTGTGTTGGTCACCTTACCAACAGAGATAGCTAAAAAAATGTATAAATGAGAAACACAATTCAGATTTTGTAAAGCTTTGGGAATTTGCGTTCTAGCACAAAAGCCTTATCCCCTGAACACATCCCACACCCAAAACTTCTTTGCACTGAGTATTAAATAGGACATTTGTCCATAACCTTTGATTTAACACTACAGCATCAGAATAATTCTCAGAAAATTCAGTCTTGGTTTTTGGCACAAGATACTTGGTAAAAACTCAGTACATTTCTTGGCTGTCTATTCTAAATGCCTATAAAGAGTCTCAGCTAAGAGTCAAGTGCTTCCAGAAAATTAACAATACTCCTCTACCTGCCAATTCCCCTGCTGTCATGTGTCTGTTCCTAGTTGGTTCTCTCAGTCTCAAGCATCAGCCGATGACAGCATACATTGGCTTGGAGCCATTGTCCTCTTTGTAAACTTATTGTGACTGCAAAACATCGAGAGGTGTCTCCTGAAGGAAAAGAGCAAACCTTACTGAGAACTCTCAGATAACATCTATCCTTGTAACCAGCACTGCACTTCCTAAAACACATACTCACTCCACAGAATACTCAAAAGAAAAAATTTTGTTATCCCTGATTTCATCAGGAAATAAATTCTGTATCTGTACAGCTGGCACATAGCCAGATAAAAAAATACATCCAGGCCAGATTCCACAGCCAGGTTTGGTATATGAAATCTCCAGCAATTTTTCTGCATCAATAAAATTTTTGTTTACTTATGCTAAGCAGCTAATGGGAGGTTTTTTCTTTTTTAGGAGGTCAAAGTGGGATTCTATCTGCTAAAATCCTGAATCATTTTTCCCATAATTACTTCTATTTACCTTCTCCCCAATAGCACTGCGATCCCCCATAAATACTTCTCTGGACGATTAATTCCCATGTATAATCATGCTATCAGTTGTTTCTCTAAGGGAATGTTATTGTTTAATCTTTGATACTGTCTCTGTGGCTTGTCTCATATTTGACTTGGCAATAAATTACTGTAGTTATTCTCCTTTAGGAAGATTTATTATTGAACACAAATAATACATTTAAAGATTTTTAGGTTTTTTTTTTTAACCAGAGTAAAGCAGTTGCAACCAAGTAATCCCACTCTGGATGAGTCTCTTCCTGCACTATAAATAATTTTCTTAGGATGCTGACTCCCCTCACAAACCAAAGCAAGCTGTGTGCCACAAAAGCAGGCTCCCGTGGCTCACACTTGCTCAAAACTGTCTCTGCAAAACCTTGGAGCCTTCTTACACCCCTAACAACAGGCAATTCCTCTGTTCCTCTTGCAGCTCACCTTCTGGAATTTCCACTTTGGTTGTTGTGCACTTCAGTTCTTTCAGCATCAGTCAGTTCATGGTACAAGGAATCCTGGCAGGAAGAAGCCATTAGAATTACGGGTGATGCAGCACTGGCTCCGGCAGGATATTCCTGTTATAAATGAAAATTTGTCCAGCCAAATTAATATGAAAAATAAAATATTTATTTTACAATCAAATTTTATCTAGCCAGCCACAAGGAAAGAACAGAGCCGAGCCCGGGGTCAGCCCTGGGTGTGCAACAAGGAGTCAGCCTCAGCAGAGGTTTTCCTCCATGCCCACACACCTCCATCCTGGCACAAGCGGGTTTTATAGGGAAAATTCCGCCTGAGGCCAAGATTTCAGCAATCAGTCTTTTCTTCTATTCAGAGTCCATATGTTAATAAGATTTTCCTTTTTGGTGATGAGGGAGAACAAATCACTGTCTGGAGTTTGTTGAATCCTTTGATGAAATTTACCGGAACGCTGTATTCACATGTATCTGCCTCAGGATTTCCACGATATCCATCTCGGGTTATTCACTCGAACGATCAGCCCCTGGGGTTTCTGTATCTCCCCAGCCATGGCCCATCTCCTGGCGAGCTGTACCTTCTTACTTGTAAATCAGTTTCCAATCTTCACCCGGTCTCACCTGCGCCTGTGAGGGGGGGGAATCTTAATACAAACATGTATACTCTAACAAATATTCAATATCACATATATCATATTAGAAATGGCGCAAATTATATCTACTACACATAACATTCCCAATAAACAGGGCAGGCACTGCCCGGGTCCCGCTGGAGCCAGCTCTGGCAGCGCCAGGAGCCAGGGAATGCCCCCCCAGGAGCAGGGCTCGGTGCCGTGGCTGTGTGAGGCTCTGTGACAAGTGACCCATTTCTCCTCTCTCTCTCTCTCATTCTTCGCACAGCAATCGCCTCGAACCAGAGCAGCGCTTCCAGCGCGTTCCCGAGCCGCGGGGAGCGCGGCGGTGACAGCAGCCTGCTGGTGTCCCCGCTGCTGGTGGCGGGGGTGGTGATCGGGCTGGTGCTGCTGCTGTCCTGCGCCACCATCCTGGTGGGCAGCCTGCGCAGGGACAGCCGCGCCGGCCCGGCCGCTGCGGGTAAGGGAGCGGGGCCGGGAGCACCGGGAGCACCGGGAGCGGGGCCGGGAGCAGGGCCGGGAGCAGGGCCGGGAGTGCCGGGAGCAGGGTCGGGAGCGGGGCCGGGCCGGGAGCACCGGGAGCAGCGCCGGGAGCAGGGCCGGGAGTGCCGGGAGCAGCGCCGGGAGTGCCGGGAGCAGGGCCGGGAGCACCGGGAGCAGGGCCGGGAGCGGGGCCGGGAGCACCGGGAGCGGGGCCGGGCCGGGAGCAGGGCCGGGAGTGCCGGGAGCAGGGCCGGGAGCAGGGCCGGGAGCAACGGGAGCAGGGCCAGGCCGGGAGCGGGGCCGGGAGCAGGGCTGGGAGCAGGGCCGGGAGCACCGGGAGCAGCGCCGGGCTGGGAGCAGGGCCGGGAGCAACGGGAGCAGGGCCGGGAGCGGGGCCGGGAGCACCGGGAGCGGGGCCGGGCCGGGCCCGGGGCAGCGGAACCGCCCGGCCTCGGGCAGGCACGGGAAATGAGCTTAAACAGGGGCATCAGTCGGGCAGCCTCCAGGGTAATGCAGCTCTGTGCTGGCTCCCCACGCAGATAATGGTTAACAGAACTCAGCCAGTGCTGGCAGCACCTCCCGAACAGCTCATTGCCCTCGGTATGGGATAAGATTTACTCTCTTTTGCATTCTCACATCCCCCTATAGCTTCGGTGCAGCATTTGCTGTAGTTTCTATTTCTTGGAAAGGCAGAGCTGGTCTCATTTCGGCCAAGTGCACCCAGCTTACAACAAGCACTGCTGTTTGCCTGAGGGCAAAAGTGAATATCTGCCTGGAAACAGAACAGGGCGCCCAAATATCATTAAATTGTCACCGTCATTAACAGTGTCATTGATGACATCCGTGTCACCACAGCCATCATCATTAGAGATTCAAAAAGGTGCCAATTCCTACCTCCTAACCAAAATAAAACCCGTGAAACAAAACCAACACATAACAAAAAAACATAATTTGGGAATATCAGGGAGTTAATTTTAGAGTAGTGTTTTCAGCCCTTTGGGCTTTGCTATGTCAAGGAAAAGACAGAAGATTATTTCTATTTAAGGGAAAGAACAGTTTTAAAAGTTACTGTGTAATCCTTCAGACAGTAAAACTTCCAATGACAAATGGTGGAGCATCAACAACCACATCCACTGTGAGCAAGGTCCTCTACCTGCAGCTTGTTATGGATGCAGTTGTGTGCATATCATTGAAGGAGTTTTTATTCATTTAGTGAGCCACATCAAAATGCATTGGCTTAAATCCTGTTTTCACTGAGGTAAATCAACTGTCCATTGAAGTAAATTGAACTTCATTTAGTTATTTGGACCAAGAATTTTTATGTCTAAACTAAACAAATCTAGGATCAGTTTGTCCCCTTACAGCAAGGAATAATTTCTTTTTGGCTTTTCCAGAAATATTTATCCAGATAAGTTAATAATGTGTGTATTTTGGGAATAAAATTTAGAGTCCAAAAGAATTGAAATGCAAACTCCCGTGGCAACCTGCAGAGGGAAAATAAAAACAAAATCCAGAAAGCTAATGTCTACTATTACAGTAATACTAATTTTCCTAATTTTCAGCAGCTACATTGAGGATTAAATAGTTAAACCCAAACCGGAGTTACTGTTTGACCCAATATTTTGGCATGATAAAATACTGACTATTAAGCTTTAATCACTGTGTTTAAATCTACTACTCTGATAATTTCATCTCCTTGCAAAAGCCTAGAGCTAGGCAAAAACAGAAAGGAAAATTTTCAAACTCCTTGTTTGATATAGCAATGCTAGAGAAATGGAAAAGAAAAGCATATTTGGGGAGATATTCAAAAGAATAATCCTAAACTAAATTGTGCCAAATTATGTTACATGGACACAAACATACACTAATTATCCTCCAACACAGAAAATAGCACTGAACTCTCAGTATTTGTGGAGCTGGGAAGCTCTTGCATAGAAGCATTAAGAAATCCCTGGAGCAGGCAGCAGGGTGATTTTTTCTGTGCTACTTTCCACCTTTCCCATTTTTGTCAGTGTTTATTGAGATCAACGTTTTCCCAGCAATTAAACCCCTGCCCCTCCTTTTACACCGCTGCCAGAACGGACAAACTTCCCATGGATGCAACTGCTGGAATTGCAGTTACCCCACAAACACCTGAAGCTGCACATGGTGGAACCCACACTCCTTTTCAGCCTCTGAGGCCCAAGAAAGGCTTTGGAACTTCCAGCTGCGTTGTAGGACAGCACTAAAGGCACAGACCCTGTGCCACAGCCTGAAACACCACAGTTCATCTACAGATGGGCTTCATTCACTCTTAAAGAAATAAGAATTCCCATAAAAAGTGATTGCTCCAAAATACCCACAACTCCTTTGCCTCAAAAAGGGTTTGTTTTCTGATTTGTGGCAGGGTTATAAATGAGTGACAGAGGATCCAGCACGGAGGGGAACAGCAGCCAATATAAATTCTTGTTTTGCAGCTCCAGATGGTTTCTCCCACGGCGGCTCCTCCGCAGAGCTGAGATCCACCTGCAGCGAGGAGTTCCCCCCTGCCTGTGATTTTGACTCCTACCTGGATATACTTTCTCAGGTGAACATCATGTATCCTGATCCACCTCCATGGTAAGCACTTGCCTGACATTCTCAGGGTTACAGACCTGCACTGGCAAAGCCTGCTACAAAAATTCAGCTCACACAAACTCTGAGTACAGACAGACCTTGTTTAGCTTGAGTGTAAGTTCAAGTTTTCCTTAGCAGAATACAGTTTTACTAAATAAAGATGTGGACATAAATTCTCATTCAGTGATATTCTCATTAAAATTTATCATAATGATGATACACTAATGAAACACACAAGTAGAATTACTTAAAATCATCTTTCTTTGAAAGAAATGCATTTACAAGTCAAAGTTTCAAAGTCAAAAATGCATACTTTTCCCAAGAACTTCCAAGTTACATTTATTACTGACCTTGAGAGTGTTCAGCTCAGAGGAAACAGAAAAACAAAATTCCAGAATTATGCAGCAGCTCCTAAATGGTGTGCTCACATTCACAGGGTACAGGAACAGCCTCTTGAGCCACAGGAGCTGCACTTTGGGCCATGGGCATCTCCTTTATGTGCCTCAGGCCCCTGAGGTCCAGAAATGAAGGAATTGAGTTGCTCCCTCCAATGAACCAACAGAAATTATTTTAAGCAGAACATCACTTCAAGCTTTCTGTAGTGCTGTGTCTTACAATCAGTAAACAGAGGTTGAACAGCCATGCCCCCCTTTCTTTTTCTTTTTTTGATTCCTTTTAAGAAGAGTCTTTTTGAGTCAAAGCACTATAAGACCAGCCCTTTTCTGAGTGTGATGTAGAGCAGCTCAGCACTATGAGCACAGCAGACATGGATCTTTGCTTTGTTATTTTATGCATGTTATACAAGCAGCAGTTATGTATTACCAACTCATTCTGTATAACTAATGGGCTTCTAGGGATTGTGTAAATATTTTAGCAGAAAGCTCACATGTGAGAAATTACTCTGAGCCTGGCATCTAAATGTGTAGAATTTCATATAAATCACTTAGGAATTTAGACTGGATTTTGGGTCCACACCTACGAGTCTTTACTAATAAAAGGCAACCAGCTGACACCTAAGCAAGACTCTGAGTGGGCAGCTGGCCATATTCCTGAGAACAAACTGACAGTATATTTCTTTAGCAGACAGATCATCAAAGATTAAACCAAAAGATGCTTCCATTTCCAGTTTGAAACAGCCACAGAGAAGGTTTTTCCATTTCTATGGAGTTGTGTTTGAAGGAGATACGAGTGACACGGGACAGCACAGATTATCCACAGTTTGCAGTAAATTCTGCAGTGGCTCTGTGACAAGACTGGCAAGGGTTAATTGTGTCCTACCTGTTCTCAGAATATTCTGGGACACATAAAGGTGTCCAACCACTGCCTCCTCCAGGTTCCCTGCTGGGCTGAGTGGACTGTGTCCCTGAGGATCCACTCTGGCCACACTGGAAAACATTGCTCATCCCAGTAATTACAGCTCTGCATCACAGGTCTAAAGTAAAGATAATTGTGAAGGGTTTGGCTGTTTTCTCACTGCCATTGCAGTTAAGTATTTTAGAAAAAGTAGCTTTGGCAAATCATCAAAATCTTAGTAAATTTTATATCTTAGCAACACAACTTGGGGAACTTCAGGGAAAGCAGATGGCTGAAAGCAAAGCTACATGGATACTTTCAAACTTGCTATTAATGCATTCTCCAGACCATTGTGATGGTTCAGAAAAGCACTGGGTGAGAGGCACTGTCTGAATTACTGCCTTATGTAAAGCCTGAAAAATTCCTGTATATCCCCCTTTATATTCTCTTGCATGGCATAACACAGCCTGGAAGCAAAAACAAGACATGCCTGACCTTGTGCATTTAAAATATTAACTCCCTGGGATCAATCTCATTGCATAGGATAATATTTTGAAGAGTAGGTTTACTGAAACACAGCACTGCCTAAATGAATGCAATTCCTCCTCCTAATTCCTGGAGGGCAAGATGTAATTTAAAGCTAAACTAGCATGGCCAAAAGCTAATAATGCAGCTGTGGCATCAGCAGAACAGAAATGAAGAGCAGCGAGGAAAGCAACTGCACTGGTAAATAACCCTTAAAAATCTTTGAAGTGAGGGAGTTCAGTGAGTTAAAAGCAGTGGGTGCTGCCAGGATAATTTCCTTTACCCACCTGGTGTTCCAAGGCCACCTGCATTCCAGCACCCAGACAGGACTGTGCAGCTCCTTACACCACTCCTGCCAGACCACACTCCAGAAATGGTTTCAGGAGAAAGCACAACACCTTTATTTGGCCAAGGGGTGGTAGTTAGATTTTATAGCTGAGCTTTAAACCACAAAATTAGTAGAAAATGGATTTAAGGGCAAGGCTGATGAAACACAGAGTCAGTCCCCATGTCTGTGGCTGAGGGAGAGCTCCCTGTTCAGGCCTGCCCACTCCCAACTCTCCAGCTGGAAGTCCAATAACTGTTTATATAGAATACTATTCATAGAAAAAATGTTACTGGTAAATTAATCTATGAAAAATGCCTTGGGATATTAGTATTTGCTCTGATCTCTGAATCACATTTTTAATTTGTGACTCAATGTGATTATCCCCACAGACACTTCAACTAACCCTTTCTTGCATTAGATTTAGAGGGATGCCAGGCATGGAATTTTGTCATTAGCCTGCTGTAGTTGCAGGGTGGTTACAGAGAAGCCATTTGGTCAATTTGTTTTGACAGCCCAAAATATACAGTGCTGCTATCTATAAACATCCCTTTAGGACAGTTGATGGCCTTTTAATGAATCTCAGATCTGTGCTAGCATCTGTCACATTGATTTTACATGAGGTGTAGATGGGAAATATAAAGACAAAATACAGGGGGTATGAACCAAAGAGTTTCAGAATATGAGGGGTTTGTATTTCAGAGCATATTTCTGATATGTACAGGTACTTACAGCAGGGCTGGAAGTTAATGTTTCATATCTGTGTCACCAGACATGGCAAAGAAACTCAAGTGTGAGAAAGGTGATCCAAGCAATCTCCCAACAATTCTAAACTACAGAATTCTAATCCCTCCAAATGAGCAAACTGAACACATCCAACCAGGACAGAAAACAAGCACAATCTCCCTGCCACATCTTACCTATCATCAGGATCAATATGGCTTGGAAAGAAACACTGGAAATCCATTATCAGACATTTTGTTCAATATCCACTGTGCTGGTGCGAGTGAAATCTCACTGTTGGCACTGTGGGGATGAAACCTTTATTGACAGAAATCATGAGCCCATGTTCACTGTGCTGAGTTCTTTGTAACATGCACTTCTAGAGAGCATTGCTAATTATCTCCTTACACATATGTAATAAGAAAGCTGGTTAAAAATAAGTTGAGCTCACATGTTTGAAATGGATTGAACTACAGTACCAACTAAAGTCCAAGTAAATTAAAAGCTATTACATTTTCTTTAGGAGAGTCAGTAAAATCTAAGCAATGAGGAGATTTCACAGCAGGAAAGGAATTTTATCAACTTCTCACCTTGTAGCCAGGGAAAATGCATCTCATCCCCCTGCATAAGTGCTTTTTCACTCCTTAGTGATTGGGTATTAATGGCATGTACAGAGCTTTAGGCAACCAAGATGATTGCCTTTTGCATCTGAGACTCATGAGTGTCTGACACAGAACATCCCTGAGGAATGACTGCTCAGGAGAATGCAGGGATTCACCTGCAGGAATGGTTTCAATGGAAGCCACAGAAATCCTCTCCAAACTTCACACTGAATGTTCCCCACAGGGCACACAAAGATAAAAACCATTCAGTCCCCTCTATCCCAGCATTCATGTTAAATCACATTGTGTGAGAGTTTGTCTATGGGCTCACTCTTCCTCAGCTGGTCACCCTGCCTAATCTACACAGGATCTGTTCTATAGAAAATGGTCTTATTTAGTCTTGTTAAATCCCAATATTCTCAATAACCATCTTCAGCCTGCATTGTTTAAATGGGCAAATCAATTTAAAAATTACTTTAAAATGGCAAAAGAAAATGCTCCTGTCTTAAAGTCAGACACTAATTTCCCTTTAAATATATATTTTAAAAAGCCTACTTAAGGGACTTTCTTTTTTAAGACATTCTTTTCCATCACCCACTTCTGAGGATCCAAGTTAGCCAAACCAGCCTCCTGGATTTTCTTGAGAGGCAGAATTAGGCTCGCAGGGAACTAACATCTTGCTATATTCCTTTGCTGTGTTCCTTTGCTAAGGCTGTTTTCCTGACTGCAAACCAGGTGAGGAGCTTTTGCCACATTACAGCGACAGCTGGCAAAGCATGAGATGGACATTTGGGGTTAAGTTCAGCTCTTACTTCCATACCCCCACTGAGCTTTTCAGTCAGTACAGTAAAAAATGCCACTGGAAATATGACGGGTTTATTTTTCCATTAGATAGGATGACTTGAGCTAAAACTCTCAACTCTTTTAACTCCAAATTCCAAACACTTTAAAGCCCCTTCCTTCACATCCCATTGCTGTTCCTCATCTGTATTAGGGATAGAAACAAGTAAATTCCTAATTATTTTGGCAAACTTCTTATTTCAAGCTTAACTTTGTTTACTGCTGTTTTATAAGCATTTCTTTCTATGGCATTTCCATTCCTCTTTATTATCCACACCTTTCTCTTTTTTTCTTGTCTTTGTAGTCAAAAATGCTCTCACACCTCAGCTTGTGTGTTGGGAGGCTGAGGCACAAAATTCCCTTTGTTTTCTGTCATCAAAAATATCTGTGGGGAGGCTGCACCTTCTACCAGCCTCTCTTCACAGTTCCATTCTGGAGGTGCAAGTTCTTGCTGCATAAAAACCCCTGAGGCAGTGAAAGCAGCAGCCCCTGATGGAAGGGAAGCACCAAGGATTTCTAACCAGAAATCTACAGGGCCATGCAAAGCAACCACAACTTAAAGCTATCAGATCTTTAATGACTGTACTTAAAAAACAGAGTATTTTTCTCTGATTTCCCGGTAGCATATTGCAGCCAGTATTTCCTTCACCTGCTCAGAATTCATTCCTGAAATCATTAAAGCAAAGCCTTTTCTA